ACCAATTCAATATTTGGGTGAGCTTGATGCGAAGGGCCAATTTAATCCAATTATGGGGATATCCAATCCAAGTCTTATTATAGGCTTCTTACCAAGTATGAGACCTGGCTCGGTTGGGCAATCCAATGAGGTCCCGATTACCGAGGCTTTGGTTCCGTTTCAAGCTGTTCTGTTCTCTACGTAATTTTAGGAAACATCCTATCTGTTGAAAGATCCTCTCGAGGGTGCAAATTCCAAGGAAGCTCCTGCTACTCTTTCAATTCCAAGTCCAAGACGGAAGAATATCTTACCTCTCGGAGTTAAACTCAACCTAATGAAAAAAAAGAGGGCATTGAGAATTATCTTAAATATAGAAACCAATGACATTTTGAAGGATTTAGATACTATTCGACCTTCTATTTCAATGAAGCATTATCAGCGGTCGCATTAGAGTGTTGTTCTACATTGAACTCATCGTTAACATGGCATAGGCAACGCAATAAAGAAGTTTGTGAAGTTAGTTTGAACCCTGACCCATATGCACTAACTATTAATGTTTCAATTGACTGTGCTATGATCTTGGGTATTCAAGTGGATGGTGGTTCCATTGTCAATTTAATGAATGTTGATACAATAGATGCTTTAGATTTGAAACACTTAGTACCCACAACATTGGTATTAAAGATGGTAGATCATAGCCAAGTTAAACTAATGGATATTTTATGGAGTATGATTGTTGATATTATGTATGAAATTGATTACATCGTCTTTTGGTTATAATATTTGACTTTATCATATCCAATTTTATTGGGATAATTCTGGCTTTATCAAGCCAAGGCCAAGAACGATTGGAGTCGAGGTACTTTAATAATTGGCAAGGGCGGAGAAAAAATGGTATTATAAATGTACCTAGTACACTATCACGGGGAGGCTCAATTGCCAGCATCTGAATGGATATCGGACGATGAGCTTAACTCCAATGATAATGTAGTAGTACTGATTACAGAGGTGTCCGTGGAAGCAATCCAACACCCTGAAGTAGTGTACCAATGTGGTGGTCTGAGGGAGTACTTGATATACCCGCCAGATTCAAAAATCTCTACTAAAGTTAGTATTGATTGGATGATCAAATATGATGTGCACCATATGAGTGCCTTGGACATAAGATTCAGTACTTTACACATATCAAACTTATCGACTGATTTTAAATCTATGCGGAGGTTGAAACAGAATATTGCCACTGCACCTTTATGTCAAACTATCAACTTGGCAATCACAACAAAGCCTCGGATAATTAAGGTCTACAAAGGTATTAAGTAATAGGAGTTGACTTGTTAGAAAAAAAATTTCTTACATCATAAATCTACTTTTGTTTGGACTTATGATGATCTAAAAGATATCCCTGATGAAGTTTGTACGCATTGTATTAATTTAGAGGAGAATGCTAAATCAGTACGATAGAGGCAATATCGCCTTAATCCTAAATATTCTTTCATGGTGAAGGAGAAATTGGACAAACTTCTTGCAGTTGGTTTTATTTACCTGGTATCGAATAGTAAGTGGGTTTCTTCAATCGAGATGGTGCCAAAAAAAAATAAAAAAATCCAAATATGTTAAGATTTTTGGATACTTAATGCAGCCACGAAGAAAGATTACTTCTCATTACCTTTCATGGATAGTATATTCGACATTGTAATAGGTCACAAATGTTAATCGTCCCTCGATGGATTTTCTGGGTATAATCGAGTTCAAATTGCATCGAAAGACCAGCTGAAGATAACCTTTACTACGGATTGGGGCACATTTGCTTATCGCATGATGCCTTTTGGGTTATGCAATGCTCCAACCACGTTTTAGAGAGTGATGACTTAGGCCTTCCAAGTCTATCTCCAGATGTTTATGGAGATCTTTGTAGATGACTTTTGTATATTCAGTACAAAACAAGATCATTTTAATTGTTTGGACAAATGTTTGGCTTAATGCACTAAGTTTGGAATATCGTTAAACATGGATAAGTGTCAATTTGGCATTCCATCTGGAAAATTATTGGGACATATCATCTCCAACCGTGGTATTGCTACAAATCTTGAAAAAATGCAACATATAATGAACTTGCTCAGACCAGAGATGGTCTTTGGTATTCAAGGATTTGTCAGCCATGTCAGTTATTATCGCCGCTTTATTTGCTCATTCGTAATTATTTGTCAATATTTAACAAACTTACTAAAGAAACCTCCATCATATGGGACTAGTTTTCTTTAGACTATGGAGTGTACCATGGCCTTTGAGGCATTAGAGTCAAAATTAATCTCTGTACCAATATTGGTAGCACCTCGTTGGACGGAGCATTTTCATATGTACGTTGATGCATCTAATGTGGCTATTGGATCGGTACTAAGTCAGAAGGATGACCAGGGTCTGGATCATCCTATCTATTATGCCAGTCGGCAATTGGTGGCTGTCAAACGTAATTATACTACTACAGAACGCAAAGCGTCGAACATGATATACTCGGTTCAGAAGTTTTGGTACTATTTGCTTGGACATCCATTTGTATTTTATGTGGATCATGATGCCCTAAAATACATGATTAATAAGCCTCAATTGAGTGGACACATTGCCCGATGGGTATTACTTCTACAAGAGTTTAATTTTATGATTGTTGTACAATCTAGGAAGAAACTTGTAAATGCCAATCATTTATCCTTGTTATCTAATATTCTTGGCAACGAGCCTATCCCTAATGCTCTTTTTGATGTCGAATTATTTGTGATGGATGTGATTTCTTCCAAGTATAGTGAAATCATTCAATTTTTGACATTCCACACTTTTTTGCCGACTTTTACCGAGAAGCTTAAGAAGCGACTCATTCTGAAGTGTGCCCCTAATACGATGATTTGCGATGCTTTATATAAACAAGGCAAAGATGGTATTTTAAGACACTGTATCTTTCAAAGTAAAGTACAGTCAATACTAGAGGGTTATCGTTTGGATAGTTGTGGTAGTCATTTTGCAGACGACAGCATTGCTTGCAACCCTTTAATGGCAGGATATTGGTGGCCCACTATGTTTTCTGATGCATACCAATTTGTTTATCATTGTGATCCCTATCAACGAATTGGCCGACCCACGAGTACTTCAGCCATGTCATAAGTACCAATCTGGGCACAAACACCGTTTGAAAAATAGGATATTGATTTTCTCGATTTTTGATCCCTCTATTGAATCCTTAGAGGTTTTGGAAGCAACTTGCTTTTGTAACCATGGATTTCTTCCCTCTCTTTGACTTTCTTCATCCACACTTTGAGGATCTTGATTTTCTTTTGAATTCTCTATTTGTTCTTCTTGCTTTTCTTGAACCTCTTCTTCTTCATTTATCTCTAAAGGAAGAGGGGGCTCTTCTTGAAGTAAAGGTTTTTTCTTCACCAATCTTCTCTTTGGTTTTCTCCTTTGATCCACTTCTACATCATATTCATTGGTCTCAAGGATTTCTTTATTTTTTAATTATTAGAAAGTGGATCTTGTAGTTTTCTTTACCATCTTAACTAATTCTACTTGCCTTAGCCAAAATTTCATGTAGAAATATTTCTTTAAGTTTTCATTCCCAATTTCGACCTTAAAGGCTTTGATACCATATGTAATGTTGCCTGGCTTTGAGCTTCTATTCAATTCTTAAAACATCCAATGAAACAACGTTATTCACTTAAACACAAATATGAAAATAGATCTAAAATAGTCTAAAAAGGTCCCCACGAGGTTCTAAAACAAAACGAGATGGTATTGGACTTTTGTCTTGAAAACAATCATGTTGTGATCCAAGGTGGCATTGCAATACTATGCCATGGTACGACTCTGCATCAAGGTGTAGGGCAACCTAAAATATACTATACCACAATTCTAGTCCTGATTTACTAAAGCTCAAGGTCTCACCACGATTTTACCTCGTGGTATCACCTGTTGACGCCAAAGTCTAGAAGTCACATTGGGTGTTGCCCTTCACCTCCAAATTGACTCCTAACTTCTAACTAAGTCTAAATTGTAGTTTAGACTCTAAGAAGAAGATGTCATAGGCACTTTCCTTAAGGCAACAGGGACTCACTCCAAATTACTAACAATTCCTCACCCCACCTTATGCACCACACAAGATGTGAGGTGCATAAGGTGACCTTCCCAATGGCTCTTTTTCACCTTGCCGGGCCATTCCCCTTGGCATAGAGAATGCCTTGGCTCAACTTACCTCTTCAGTTTTCTCACGGGTTTCTTTAAACAAGCACGTGAAAGGGTCGACTTTTTCAACCCTAACACAATGTAGCAGACTCTGGTGGCTTTTGGTGAGCAGGTCTTGCTCTAAAGAAGGCAGTTCCATGCTGCTTTAGAGCAGCGTAACGAACAGGCTAAGCTACGAGGATGATGACAAGCCGGAGGCAGAGGTGTTGCTCCAATCATCTCTGCCTCCCGGTAGCTCGCTCGCTAGCTACATGTGTATGTATGCATCCAGATATCGTCTCGTCCTTTGTTACCCACTCTCTCGACCACAGCCTGCGTGTTGTGCAGTACATTGTAACCGCATGGCTATCAATGATGGACGGGTTTGCTCAGGTGGAGTTAATCGTTTGAGTAGAATCTTATTTTCACGTTGATTCGTGTTCTACTCGCAATTAAAGACGTGAGTGGTCATCAAGGATGCTACCAGCGCGGAATCAGAGGGATGAACGTTGTGATTGAAGTGTGCGAAGCTGATTGCAAGCCGGGTGTGATCAGATCTTCTTGTGAGTGTAACGTGCGAGTACGAAATGATTTCCAGGATGCACACCCGAGTGAAAAGGCCATTGAGGAATTGAAATTTGGTAACCCGTAGGATGTGCACATGTGCTCCCAAAGTGTGAGTTTCCCTCATCAGCCGAATGAGTTTGGAGGGATGCGATCATCTCCGGTGATCGAATTCGAACTTCTGCTCTCCGTTTTTGGTTATGATCAACAAGGTGATCTGAAAACGTCCTGGCTCTGACTCCCACACACATCACTGCATCACTTCGCACAATTTGTTACTTTATTCGTGGAATTCCGGACAAGAACGAATCTGTCTGCGTGAGTAAGATCGATCCTCGCTCGTGTATGTGAATTATTCTTTAGCCGCCACTGGCTTCCAGGCTTCTTCGAGCAGTAAATCTATCCACCGCGTGCGCGCTCCTCTGCAGTTCCCGCACAGTCACGCAAAGTTTTGTCTGGTCTGATTCCACCCCTGTGCTTCGACCTCAGGCTTGGAAAAGCAGGTGGCCAATGCGGTGGCAATGGAACAGATGTAGAGTGATTCTTTCAGTGTCACTAATCGTCAGTTGAGATCGCATCAGCAACTGATCGATGGAGGGATGGCATGCGTCCAGCCTTTGAAGCCTTTCACGCTTTACCTTGTGAGGTGTTTGGCATGGCAGCAAGAAACAGATGAAGGAGAAGCCTGCAAGCTTGAAGGTTGCGAGAGCTGATGATCGACACATAGCACGAACCACGACAAAAGCATGGACATCGGGGCTGAGTCTATAAGTGAGATGGCCCCGCAGCCTTTTCTTTTCCGTTCCCTGCTCTCCCGGAAGTTGGTTGGGTTTGTTGCAAAGTGGTCAACCCATTCTTCTTGCGCTCATCTCGCGCCGGGCAAGCTCGCTCTCTCCGGACGCTCGTGATTCCAAAGCCCCGAGGTGCAAGTTCCTTATTTCCATCTCCAGCTGGCTGAACTATCTCCACTTGGTAGTCTCCCGATTGTGTGCCGCTGTAATTGAGTGAGAAGCCGGAGATCATCGCGCATGCTGCGCACATGCGAGCCTGTCGACGCGATAAGAGCGCAGTTGTGATTGATGCAGCCGTTCTTCTTGGGAGCACTCCGCGACAGCATAATAGGTTTCGGGGCCTTTGCAAAATTTAGATAGACCTCGAGGTGAAGCCCGACGCTCGTCTTTTGGGTGCGTTGTAGGACGGTCGAAGTAAATTACGTGCGAAGAATGCCTTCAACATTGGTGCTGGTTTCGTGGGAAGTTGAGACCGAAGTTTGCCAAATCGTGGGGCAGGGTGGTTAATTGTTGGGGGCGGAGCGACAGGAGTCGGTTCAGCCTTGTGGTGTATCGAATCCTAGTATGGTTTTCGGGGCATACGCCTCAGCGTTTCAAGTGGAGCATTGCTTTTCAGGTAAGGGGTGAAAACCATCAGTCTCGATGATGCATCACACAGATTCGTCGGAGGTCCAATCGGTGTTGCAGATTGTGAGATTGTGAGTTGGTCGTGGTAAGATATATTCACATATATTTACTTCAGCTTGCGTGCCAAATAATCGCATCTCATTGTTTCCCAGTCTGCGCATGAGATGTTCTGTTCGGAAGATGAGACGACAAACCGGCGCGCAAAGAACTGGGATCCTGTGACGTAGCCCACAATGTCCTGCAGAGGTATTATCTTGGGAATACGAAAACGTTTCGTTTTTGCAATCCACTAACAAGGTTCTGCAGCTGGAGTCTCACAGCCAGCAGCGATCGATCCGCTGCAACAAATTCGGCCATAGAATAAGCTCAAACTGTTTGGCAAGAACATTCTTTCCCTAGTTTTTGAGACGATGTTGTTCCAATGACAGGATTCGAAAACTTCGTGCTGGGAGAGGTCGCGAAAATCCCTCCACGCAAGATGGTTTCGCCAGGGCCTTACATTGTTGCAGCCAACCCGGAGACAACGTACCTCATTGCGCTTACGTCGATGGAGGTGATTAAGGTTAGGAGAGGGTGAGAAGTCATTGGCCTCAGATGGCGCAGAATAGGATGCAGCTTGTAGGGTGCTGCTGTGGGGGAAGGCAACTCAATCAGCCCGGGGAAAGCCGAAGCGTGATGTACCGATGCGCTACTCTCTTGACAGTGCAAACCACGCTCGTGGTGGTGTTATTCCTCATAGGTGGAGTCCTTGTGCTGGATTCCTACAAATGGCGCCAGATCTCGATTCCTTGGTTTTCTGGGCTCTCCGAAGGACCTAACGCAGTGTTGCAGCAAGGGAATGCTGCGCACACACTGTCAGGAGCTGTCCACACGGAAAGCGTCGACGGGAAACCGGCGCAAGGTACCTTTACATCACCAACTTACATCCGAAGTCAATGTAAATGTTCATCATGCAATGAGAGATTGAGCTTGGCATGCAGCATGTCAAGACCGCCGCTGAGCATGGTTGAGACCAAACCCTCTGCACGAGCCTGCTTCTGATTATGGCTGTGTGGGATTCGCATTACACAGGAAGCTCCGCGAACTTCACTACCCCTGCTATTGGCGTTCCAAGGAATCGGGAGGACGCCGATCACTTGCCAACTTCATCGCCGGCACCGGTGATCACACGTTTGGATGCGCCGTCTCAACCAACGGTCCCCACTCATGCTTCACCTCCGCGACCAGAGATTCAAAGCCCTTCAGCTGAAGCCGATGCAGGGACCGCTTCGGAGACAGTTCCGCGTCCATCTCCTCTTCTGCCGGAATTCCACAACTCTTCAATTTCGGGCCCCATCCCTGAACCCTATCTCGAGACAGCTGCACATCCACCCCTGGCATCACCACGGACTGCCAAGGTTGGTTCACAGCACCGTTTCCAAGGCTAAATTCGAAAGTTTTGGATTCGGGAGTCGTCCTAGCATCCTTCCTGAGATGACTGAACCGATCCTGTAGCGTGGACTGTGCAGAAGCCACCGGTTCTGTCGACAGCGTTAGATAAGCTGGAGTATGGCCTGTTGCAGGCGCGATTTGCAATCCGACACGCGTACCTGGCGGCAGATAAGAATGACACTCCGGTTGACGGTGGCCAGGGTTATGACCCACACGGAGACGTGTACAAAAGCCATGCAGCCTTTCGTCAGTGAGATCTGAATCAAACCCACCACCTCCGACTGATAATTCTCCCAGATAGCGACACAGTCCGCTGTTGCTGATGTGCGGTGTTTGGCGTGATACAGGAGCTACAGGGAGATGGAGAGGCGGTTTAAAGTGTACGTATACTCGGAAGGGGAGGAGCCGCTGGTGCACAATGGACCCTGCAAGGAGATCTACGCCGTGGAAGGCAGGTTCATTCAGGAACTGCAGGGAGACAATCCCTTCGTAACCCACGATCCAGACAATGCTCACGTGTATTTCCTTCCCTTCAGTGTGGCCATGATGGTCGCGTACCTTTACGAGAAAGAGTCCGGCGACATGGATCCGCTCCGGCTCTTCGTGGGAGATTACGTGGACGTTCTGATGCACAAGTACCCATTCTGGAACCGGAGTGGCGGGGCGGATCACTTCATGCTTTCGTGCCACGATTGGGGACCGCTTATAACGAGGGAAAATATGAACCTGGGAACGAGGTCCATCCGTGTGCTATGCAATGCCAACTCCTCCGAAGGATACGTGCCGTGGAAAGACGTCAGCCTCCCAGAAATCCATCTGGTGGGAGGACACATCCCCGCGGAGCTTGGCGGTCCTCCTGCCAAAGACAGGCCGCATTTGGCCTTCTTCGCGGGGCGTGACCACGGTCCTGTCCGCCCCCAGCTATTCAAGCATTGGGAGGGCAAAGACGATGACGTGATTGTGTACCAATGGCTTCCTGCGCACCTCAAGTACCACGAGCTCATGAAAACAAGCAGGTGCAAGCTGATGTCGCAGTCTTCGGGTTCACTTCTTAGATTCTTGTTTTTCTGTATCCTTGGAGCGAAACAATTGCTTCAACTGAGATTTCACTTGCGTGGTGGCAGGTATTGTATTTGTCCTGGAGGATACGAGGTGAACAGCCCCCGAATCGTGGAAGCCATCTACAACGAATGTGTGCCGGTGATCATCGCCGACAGCTTCATCCTGCCATTCAGCGATGTTCTCAACTGGGAGTCTTTCTCTTTGCACGTTAAAGAGAGCGACATTCCTAACCTGAAATCCATTCTGCAAAACGTCACCATGGAAACTTACACGTCCATGCAGGAGAGGGTGTCGCAAGTGCAGAGACATTTTGTACTCCACCAACCGCCCAAAAGATACGACGTGTTTCACATGATTCTCCATTCGGTGTGGTTGAGGCGTCTAAACCTTCGTGTCGGATTCTCATAGCTGAGATGGTTGACTTATTTAGATCCTCACCGCGGAAACAAAACCGTTCCGCCGCAGAAGGTCGGGAGAACATGTGGGAAGGAAACTAGAGTAGAATGTGAAGCTATTAGTTAGCCAGCAGCTAATAATCCAGTCGTGTGATCATGTACACATGCTGGCACACAGCGGTTGCTTTAAGTTGAAACGCTAATGCACCTGCAGGCCAAGAAAGTGCTGTGCGCAGCTTGTACAAGTGATCAATGAAACTACTGCTTCAATCGAAAGCATGCAGCTTGACGTTATCAAACTATTCACCATGGGGGAGAAATTCATGACCTGGCAGATGACGTCATACAGCTTGGTTTCTGCTTACAATGTGTATTTCGCAGCCCCATGCATGTCTCAGGAAGAATTCACCAGTAACACTTCAGAGAACACGGGAGCAGATGAGTATTTCGACGATATGAAGATTTCCCTCTGATGAATCAGTGCATAATCAGGCGAAGCTACTAATTCATCGGTGTAAGCGTAACTGCTAACATGCTGTGTTTCACAGCTGTCAGTCGAACGTGGAACCAATAAAAAAACATAGTAGTGCTTTGATTTCAAGTTGATGGCCATTTTCTGTGTTCTCTTTCTATTGCAGGTTCACTTGCTCCTGCACTCTTCGCAATTATGTGGAGTCGTAGCGAAGGAGAATTGTTTTTCATTGCAGCTCATTTTGTCGGATTCGTCATTTTGTGCATTGGACCTCTTTCAACTCCTTCTCTTGGATATTTCGTACTTCCTGGTGGTTGGAGACAATTAACAGCAGTCGAATTTTGCTGTCAGCAATAGGTGTTGGTTGGGATAGATCCCAGACAAGTTTCGTAGAATTACTCTCTTCTTTTATTAAGACATTGTGTCCTATAACTGTTTACAATTTTCATGCCCTACTCGTTTGTGGCATGTTTTGACTATTTACCTTTGGTTCATTTGATACTTTTAATATCGATTTCTGCTAGTGAGCAAAGCTTTACTTACATCCAGCTAGTTTTTTTTCCTTCGCTTAGAAATCTTGCTCTTATATTTCAATGACGAGGGTTTAAGTATCAAATCATTGAGAAGGGTGCGGTTGTGGGTCTTCGGGACAAGCGAATCTCGTGGGATGAGCTCTCAGAGGTACACCCTTCCGGTGTCCTGTTTCACCCATTCACCGTGCACTTACTCACCTGCTCACTGCACAGGGCTCCACATCGTGAGTCTGGGTTTTCCGCGGTCCGCCTGCTTCCATTCTGCCATTGACGAATAAACCCAAACAAAAACATAAATAAATGAGCACGCCTGACTCGCTTGACCACGCATCCGACATTCCTCCACCCCATCCACTCACCCCTTGCAAACCTCAGTGTGTGTAACAATGGAATGATCACAGGCTCGAAAGCTTCACTCCGCTTTTGTCATCATCGGTTCCTCGCAACACCTCACTCCCTCCCCCCGACTCCCCACGCTCTCTGATCGCTCCCCCGTGCAAGGCTCATCCGAAGAAATTCAACCATTTTGTCCGTTTCACCTCAGCGGGTTTCCCCTCAGAAGCGCGGGCGTTTTCTAATCATCGCCAAACACGGCCCACTCACTCTACCACTCTACCACCCCCACAGAGTCTCAGATATCCAAGGAAGGTTTGGAAGCTGCATTAGCTCTCCAGCCCGGCGGGGCGAAAGCTTTAGGCGGCCACTGCGAATGTTTGAGAAACAAGCCTATGAGTTCATCGTCACCGACTCTGCCCCCCTACCTCACCGCCTCACACCCACCACTCACCCACGCAACTCCCCCAGGGATCAGATTTCTGGCTTGGCTCCTTGGAGCATGAACGCACAGCTCGAATCAGTGTCGATCATTTGGGGAAAGTATCCTCATATCCCCATGTCACCTACCACACGCTAACGTCACGCGCCTCACCCACGCAGGCTGCTCAGAGTCGGCCATGGTTTTATGGTTCGATTCATGCCAAGCGGTGTCCTCACTGCTATTCAGTAGAGGGAGCTGTCAATCCTCACCGCAGCCTCCGTTCGCCCAACAAACGCCACACCGCGCCCGCGCCGCCCCCCTCCCCCGCATCGACACATCACCGCGCCGGGAAGGGACGCAGGGGAACCGCCTCACGCACTCACAGAAACACATCAGAAGCGCAGGGACGCGTCACTTGCTTTCGCATCGGAGGGAATCCGACTAAGAATCTGCACCTCATCCTCTGCGACCACCCCTCGCTCGGACTCTCAACATCACACACAACTCGCCACGCCTCGGACCCTGTCCCGACTCCCCCTCCACCACCGATGCCCTACCAAGTCCTCCCCGTCCCATTGCTGCCCGACCCACTCCCGCACCTGTTTCAATTCTGGCACCTCACCTACATACATATACTGCTCATTGGCACCCCCACGGCGCCTAGCACTGACCCCCAGCCCTAACCCTAACTCTCCAATCCAACGCGACCTGCCCACGGTTCCACCCAGCGCACCCGTCACCCCCCGCCCACGACCGGAACCCTCCGGGTCCGCCGGCGCGCGCTGGAGCGACAAAGGTTCGGGGTGTGCCAGTCCGGACGTTGCAGCCGCGAGGAACTCTTCACGTCAATTCTGGGTTGGATTCCATGCTGGGTTCTCAACCCAACCCTCCCCTTCTTTTCTCTTGGTGGAAGTCATCACGTTTCATGTGATTCTGTTGTTTGTTGTTCTTGTTTTTTCTTCCTTCCTTTTCTTTCTTTGAGCTGTTAGACATTCTAAAGTGTTTCAATTCCTGTCTACTTAATGCCAATTTTTTCCAATTTCACTATGAAATTTGCTGGATCTCCTCACAAAATCTACATTTGCATATCATGGTTTGTGTGCATAAAATCATGATCCAAGCAAATTTTATGTGGTTAATTCAACAATATTTGATTGTGCATATTTTGTGTATGTATGTAGGTGCTTATATATTTATGTATGTACATATGTATATATGATGCAATAGAATATTAGATTTAAGAAGTTAGAAATTTGCAATTATTTTTAATGTTCTAGATTATTTATATTCTTTGGGATAATTAGGATGTATTTTTTTTTTTTATTAGAAATGCCAAGTAGAAGCATGCCTCATTATCATTGAATAGTTAAATACTCTACAAAACAAATAGACTTGAATGAAATATGAATGTGCTTGTATTTAGTTCAATTGAAACAAACAAATTTTGTTTAAATCCTATTTTGTGGTCTCATATGTGGCTACTAACATCTCTTGATGTACAACCCACCAAATAGCAATTAGATTAATATCTATTGTAAGATTTACTTAACTTTTATGCTTATAATTGTTTTCACTTTAAATTTGGATGTTATAATTTTTAATTGAGTGGTCCAAATAAATTTTATTTGGTTAATTCAACATTATTTGAATGTGCATATTTGTATATGTATGTATGTGTTATATTTTTTTGTTTATGTATTTATTTATTTATTTATGTATACATAGAAAAGTCCATTTAGTAAGCTAAACAAGATAACAATACATTCTATTATTTTTTGGTTTTTTATTTAAATCTACATTTAGTTATGAATCTATGTTTATGTATTTTTTGTCTCATTTTATATTTAAAAAATATAATATTAAATATATATATATATATATATATATATACATATATATCTTTTAAATTTTATATTTTATTTTTTTATTTTTTTAATATAAATCATGATGTTACAATTTATTATTCTTCAAATATGAAAAAGCCTATCAAGCATGAGATTGTCTTGTGAAAGTATCAAGGACAAGAATTTGATGAAAGCAAATAAATAAGTCAGACTCTCTCATAGAAACTACTAGTCCAACCTTGATATTAAACCATGAGTCTTAATCTTCTATTTCTTAGCCAAAAGCCCCACTATCTATTTTATTAGCCTTTAATTATTAGTAAAACCACTCTTAAATGCTTTGTTTGCTAGATAAAAGAGCAGCTTGTCATCCAAGTATTCATCAGTTGCTTGTAAGAATAATCCACTTTTCTTTGTTTGCAAGAGCTGCCTCTCTTGTCGTGGTAATTGTCCAAACTTGGTATCAAATTCCTTGATTAATTCATTTTAAGCCATTTGATTCCTTGGCCTTTGCTCAATCCACTCCAAAAAAGTATGTTTTGTCATTCTTTTTGAGTCTTCATTAAAAAATTCATCTTTCAAAAGTTCTTCAAATTTCTTCTATGATATAGTCTTGGTATGCAATTCTCGTACTCTTTCTCTAATTTTTGATACCACTGCCAAATCAATGGTGGTAATCATCTTTAGTTCTGAAACTTGATGCACCTCCATTTTACATGTATAAATTTTGAGGAACTTAGTAATGTTCCTCCCATCAAACCTTTCAACCTTATCCACTACTATTTATAAAGCTTTGGTGGTATTCCTATCCTCCTCATGCACTTGTTGCCTTTCTTCCATAAATTAAGCAAATGCCCTGAATAAATCATGGGCACCTATTACACTTGGTAATACAAATCTTAGGATTTGATCTCCTATCCTAGCTTATTGAGAAATTTAGTGTCTTAAGGCTTTTTCAGTGGAAGTACCAATATGTCGGGTATGAAGAGTTTGCCTTAAGAAAGTGTTAGGCTTCTAGCTACTACTTAATACTTAATCAAGTCTAAGTTATTAAATTTCTAAGTTTATATGTATAATATTTTTCCTTTCAGGGCAATTACATCAAAATATAAGCCTAAGTATTAAAAAAATATCCAAATATATGATAAAATATCTTTAAACCTTATATATCCTTATTGGAAAATTTTCTTAAACTTCAACAATTCATATCTCGTAATCTAATTGTCCAAACAAACTAAAATTTTATATAAAACTTCATTTACTTTCAATAACTATCAAAACAAATTTCAATCACAAATTCGTTGTAGATCTTGAAATATTACAAAAATCCTATCAATAGCTTCAAATCCTTGTTTACTTAATAACACACACTTGTAGAAATATTGAGCCAATAATTTTTTCAGAAACTTAAGATGTGGCTCCAACCATTACTATCAATAAAACGACTCACTTACTATCTTTGAATTTCATATGATGTCTTCAATGCCTTATAATTCCTTTAGCTAGACTTAGAATTCATCAAATAGCATATGAAAAGTGTAGCCAAAAAATTGCTCTCTTCAATCCTAGTCGCTGATCCTTTGTTACTCTTTGTAAGCATATATTATGCTCTAAAGAAAGACAATAGATATGAAATTGATACCTTAACCTTTGAGCACCTATAATGCCTTCATAAAAACTCCAAATTACACAAAAATTGCATCCAAATTATATCCACAAATCTAAACTTGCTGAACTTAGCCTCCAAAGCTTGAATGAATTTGGAAGAGAAACTCTAATTCCTAATAAGGCCTAAGGCAGCCTCTTTAAAGCCCATCAAGCATGACATTCGACCAACAAGGATGAAGATCTTCACCCCTTGCCTTCATCCAACTATACCTTGGTTTCATCCTTCTTTATAAGCATCCTAATAGTTTAGACTTTCATCTTTAGACTCCAATCTTTCTTTAAGCTTTACACTAAATATTTAAATCCTACATAATATAAACACTATAATGAAAATAGATAAACCTCCAAATAAATTTTCTTATATCAACTCTATTTAAATTTACTCACTAACCACTTTAATCCACATCAAGACTTACAAATATAATATATGTTTTAATTAATTTTTTATATACTATAAGCAATTACAATACAACATCGTATTATTATAAGCAAACTTTGCTAATGGCAAAAGAGTTATTGAATCATCTTATTAGTAGTTCATAGAATACCTCAAATATTACTTCAAAACTTGATTTACATACTCTATCTATCCATCATTTTGAAGATAGAAAGCTAAAGATAGTTAAATGTCTACTTTTAAAATCTAAAAAAGCATTTGTAGAATGGATAGGATTTTTTTTGTTTTACAATACATAGTATGTAGGGTTAAAAGAAGCTAGTAAACTAATGAATAGATAGTTTAGAAGGCAAGATAGATGATGTAGTAAAACAAAAGTACTTATCATCAATTGTACAGTGATTGGCATTTAGAAGAAAGCATAAGTAGTTTGAAGAAGAAGTAGACGGGGTCCAAATTGTCATAGTCATGAGCCAAGGTAAGCTTTGTGCTACCTCTTTGTTTCTTTGTTTTCTTTCTAAAAAAAGAATAATGGATAAAATTTGAATGATGTGAAGTAAAATTCTAGAATGGAAGAAAGATTTGATTTATATGATATCAAATGAGAAATTGAATTTATTGTGTGCTAAATTATAAGAAGAGGATTGGAAAATCAATAATGGAAGATATTTTTAAAATATGGATATGACAAGAAGAATTATAATATATTGATTTTTTGAGAATTGAGTGTGCCACAAGAAAAAGTCTATGGAGTTTGGAATTGTGTGAAGCAAATTATTGGAAATGACAATTGGTTTTGGAGAATTTGAGTGATTGGATTATAGAATGTTTTATGCAATCTTTTATGATAGTGTAGTATTATCTATTATTGTCATAAGTTAAGAGAAGAGAAGAGACAATGAATGCATAAGATAGAATTTTTTATTATAATATTTTATTTGATAGAATGTGGAAGGCATTGTATCTTTTTTGGTTGTTTTAGTTGATCAAGAGACAGTTAATTGTGTGACCCTAATATGAAAGCTTATACAAATAGTCTTTCCTTATATTCAAATCTTCCTATACATGTTTATTTTGATTAAATTAGTCTAGAATAAGTAAAATGATAATTACATTTTTGTGCCATTGCCAAAAAATTGACAATATTATTGAGTGTTAGGAATTAACTACTTGTTAGAGACATAATCCTTAGAACCTTCTAGAGACAAGTTTCTAGAACCCTCTAGAAGCAAGTCTTTGGAACCTTCTAGAAGCTTTTTAGTTGGTAGAAGATATTAGGGACATAGTCCTTAGAACCTTCTAGAGATAAGTTTCTAGAACCTTCTAGAAGTAAATCTTGGGAACCTTCTAGAAGCTTCCTAGTTGGTAGAAGTTGCTTGAGAAGCTTCCTAAATAGAAGTATATATTGGAATCGAGGCTGAAGAGCTCTTTAGTCTCGACAACACATCTCTTGGAGCTCTAGCTCACCTCTCTGGTATTGTTCTTGTATTCATCTGATTAATCTAGTTCTTGCGAGTTCTTCTTGAACTTCTTGTTAGATCTTGAGTTTGTATTTCTGTGTCCATCACAGTTTGTCGAGACTGCACTCACCTCAGATATCAGAGCTAGTTTCTTCTTTGTTAGAGTGTGGATTACTCCTCTG